AAGCGGCGCCCGTCGCGCAGAGGGGGATGGGGCCGAGCCGCTGTGGGGGTGCGGGGCGGCCGGGACGGTAAAAGTCCCAGAGAGTGGGGGTGGGAAGATGGCCGCGCGATTGTTTTTCTTCCCCTCCCCCATTATAAGCCGCGCGCTCCTCGCGCTTAGTTTCCTGGTGGGGGCGGGGGAGGGAGCATTTGGGTCCAGGCTCGATCTTGCTCAGCTCTGGCTCCCTTTGTGGGCAGGAGATGTTGTGCTTTAAGCCAGCAACATCTTGGTGTTGAGACTCCAGGAAACAGGACTGGGAGATTTGTGTCTCCAAAAGATTTCCAAGACTTTCTTTACTGGCATATCTTGAGAGTCACTTTTTGTACTGCAGTGTTAGTGGGAAGCTTTTGGGGTCTGGGTTTCTTTGTCCTGTTTTGTAGCAAGTTGATCATTATGGGAAGCTGAACATTTTTCTCGTTCTTTGTACAGTTCACCATGCAGATCTTTGTGAAGACCCTGACTGGCAAGACCATCACCCTGGAGGTTGAACCCAGTGACACCATTGAGAACGTGAAAGCCAAGATCCAGGACAAAGAAGGCATCCCCCCTGACCAGCAGAGGCTGATCTTTGCTGGCAAGCAGCTGGAAGATGGCCGCACCCTGTCTGACTACAACATCCAGAAGGAGTCCACCCTCCATCTTGTGCTGCGTCTGAGAGGTGGTATGCAGATCTTTGTGAAGACCCTGACTGGCAAGACCATCACCCTAGAGGTGGAGCCCAGTGACACCATTGAGAATGTGAAAGCCAAGATCCAGGACAAAGAAGGCATCCCCCCTGACCAGCAGAGGCTGATCTTTGCTGGCAAGCAGCTGGAAGATGGCCGCACCCTGTCTGACTACAACATCCAGAAGGAGTCCACCCTCCATCTTGTGCTGCGTCTGAGAGGTGGTATGCAGATCTTTGTGAAGACCCTGACTGGCAAGACCATCACCCTAGAGGTGGAGCCCAGTGACACCATTGAGAATGTGAAAGCCAAGATCCAGGACAAAGAAGGCATCCCCCCTGACCAGCAGAGGCTGATCTTTGCTGGCAAGCAGCTGGAAGATGGCCGCACCCTGTCTGACTACAACATCCAGAAGGAGTCCACCCTCCATCTTGTGCTGCGTCTGAGAGGTGGTATGCAGATCTTTGTGAAGACCCTGACTGGCAAGACCATCACCCTAGAGGTGGAGCCCAGTGACACCATTGAGAATGTGAAAGCCAAGATCCAGGACAAAGAAGGCATCCCCCCTGACCAGCAGAGGCTGATCTTTGCTGGCAAGCAGCTGGAAGATGGCCGCACCCTGTCTGACTACAACATCCAGAAGGAGTCCACCCTCCATCTTGTGCTGCGTCTGAGAGGTGGTATGCAGATCTTTGTGAAGACCCTGAGGTTCCTGGTGGGGGCGGGGGAGGGAGCATTTGGGTCCAGGCTCGATCTTGCTCAGCTCTGGCTCCCTTTGTGGGCAGGAGATGTTGTGCTTTAAGCCAGCAACATCTTGGTGTTGAGACTCCAGGAAACAGGACTGGGAGATTTGTGTCTCCAAAAGATTTCCAAGACTTTCTTTACTGGCATATCTTGAGAGTCACTTTTTGTACTGCAGTGTTAGTGGGAAGCTTTTGGGGTCTGGGTTTCTTTGTCCTGTTTTGTAGCAAGTTGATCATTATGGGAAGCTGAACATTTTTCTCGTTCTTTGTACAGTTCACCATGCAGATCTTTGTGAAGACCCTGACTGGCAAGACCATCACCCTGGAGGTTGAACCCAGTGACACCATTGAGAACGTGAAAGCCAAGATCCAGGACAAAGAAGGCATCCCCCCTGACCAGCAGAGGCTGATCTTTGCTGGCAAGCAGCTGGAAGATGGCCGCACCCTGTCTGACTACAACATCCAGAAGGAGTCCACCCTCCATCTTGTGCTGCGTCTGAGAGGTGGCTGTTAAGTTATTGCGGCTCTTCCTTTACAAGATTGCCAATAGCATTTGTTTTGCACTGTAGCCCGTCAATGTCTTAATATTGTAAGTTAACTGCAAGTTTCAGTAAATGCTGAACAGTGTATGCTAATAAAGGTTTTTGTTGCACATTATATGGTCTTTGTGAAACTATGCAGTACTTACCCAATTACCAGTTTTAATCTGATTGTGTTCCATGGAGTGGTATGTGGAGGCTTAGGTACTAATTCTGGTCTTGAGTTTACTTTTTAGATCAGAATATACAAAGTAATGAAATCCTCAACTTAATTATAATGGGGAAAATTCATTGATATACTAATTCCAATACATTTGAGACAGGAAAGGAGGTTCTGGTTCCCTTTTCGTAGTAGGCATTCTCAGTTATGCCTCTCTGCTTAGTAAAACTTAAAGCCTACTCTAAAGAAAGGAACATGCCCCTCTGCTATAGCTAGTGCTGTTGCTCACTTGGCCTTTTTCAAACCGCATTAGTGTAAGTCCTGCTGTTTATAATGGTTTCCTTAATGGCAATGGTATTGCAGTCAGTTTTTCCCCTCTTCTATAAACTGCATCAACCATTTGGCATTAGAGAATGTATTCAGTGCATTTTTTGTTAATCAAATGAGATGATCAGCCCACTCAATGTAGGGTAACAAATGCGCACAAACTGGCTCTAGGTTTTCTTTGCACACATGAAAACTGGCTCAAGGGAAATACTAGCTTTCTAAGAAGAACTAATGCTGCTATAGGTTTCCATATATATATTTGAATAGTTCTACACTTCATTAGAAGGGCTAATATCGCAGTAGTAAATAATGGGCTTTAGCTTTAAGCAAAAGAATGGTGGGATAGAATCTTTCTGCCTAAACTTGCCCACTACTGCCAGCCATAGTTTTCTGTAAAACTCTTCCTTTTTCTTCAGAGCTGAGCCAGTGTTAGCTGCATCAAGCGGTGTGGGCTGTTGAAAATAGGCTGTCCAAACATGTTTAACCTTATAGCAGTGCATAAAATATATAAACTCAAACATAGCTATTCAGTTTGTTGTTTTTCAGAAATGTGAGGTATTACCTGTAACTATAGGCTGAGGATGTTTCAGCCTTACCAACAGGTCACTGGAAAGTGTCAACAGCAAGTACTGTTACTTCATTAACAAAATACATTTAACTCATGCTCACTGCACACAGACATGTCTTGTGTCAATGGCTAAAACAATTGACCTGACTCCCTTTGTAAATAGCTTCTAAACTACAATAGTAGAAACCCAATTAAAGGTGCCATGGGGTTAATCATTTGTTGTAAAAAAAAAATACCATCAGCTTTTCTTGAATTTTGTGTATCTGCAAATGCACACAGGGTTGTGTAGTGTCCTGACAGTGGCACAGAACAATTGGCTACATGGAGAACAAGATTAGTTAGCAAACACTGAATTTGGCTTCTATGTTGCTAAGCACCTTTTTTAAGTGAACTTTTAAAAATGGGAATATTCATCATCTAAACAGGCTCTCCTGCAATCTGCTTTGTAATGGACCTGCATTTCTGGTAGCTACAGTTCTCCCTCAGTTTTCTTTTGAGTTCTAATGATTTTTACCACCTCTCAACTTCTGTAATTGTGCCCAAATACTTAAATCTGTTAAGCCAAAAAACCCACCTCTAAGTGGAAACAATATTGTGCTAATATTTAATACTTCACATCTCACTGCTTTGGAGTTGCAGAAGTACAGGTTGGACCTCCCTGCCCTGATGAGGGAATTTGCTGGACCAGGGAAGGTCCTCTGCCACTTGCCCCTTTAGCCTACCACCACTGCTCCCTGCCACCAGCTCTTCAGCCCCACTGCTGGCCAGGTGACAGCTACCACAGCCCTGCTGCTGACATGTAGCTTGGGTCTTGCTGCTATAGCACATGGCCCTACCCGAGTTGCTCTCATCCCAGCTAGGTTGCTGTGGCAGCACCAACTATGCCAACAGCATCCTTGCCCCAGCTGGGTTGCTATGGGCTCTGGCTCTGCTGCAGCACAGTCTCCCTGCCAGCCAGACTGCTGCGACTTTGTCCTCTTGCCAGGCTGGCATGGATAGGCTGCTCTGGCCCCAGCTGGGTTGCTGTACTGCCATGCTACCAAAGCTCTGCTACTGTTGCTGGACTTGTTGAGGCCCTGGCCCTGCTACCAACAGCATTGCCATGCCCAGGGCTCTCAGCTGCTGGCCCGCATGCCATAGGACACACTTGTTCAGGAACATCTGTGGTCCTGCTAGATGACTGGATGTTGCCAGATAAGAGTCCTGATTTTTGGGGTGCAACCTGTAGTAAAACTCACGAAGGTGTATGTTACTGAAAAGTTGTTTTTTTAAGATGTTTCAAAATACAAACTAAGACTTTCAAAGCAATAGGCTTTTAAAAAATCAATATATTTGATAATGTTGATGTGGATTCTTCCTGCATATTGGTGGCCTACTTGCAGTAACTAGAATTGTTTCCTCTTAGGATACCAACTCTCCCAGCCAATGATTAATTTCCAAATGCAAAATTTAACTATCAAACATGGATTTAAATAAAAACAACCTTAAACTGTTACTTTACAGGAGGGACATTAGCATTAAAAACATGTTTTTTTTTTCCTGATCTCAGCAGCTTATTTTTGGGCCACGTGTCCTTTTTCTTGGGTTTCCTTCTGCATTGTTTATGATGCTTCTCCGTCAAGGCTCTGTTTCCATAATTTAACATCAGGTAAAGATGGTTGGGTGAGTCTCCTTCCAGTGCCATTCTTAAATTGTTACTTTTCGGTAGAAGAATCCACTCTAACCTTTTCAAGAGAAGCTAATCTAAATAGTCAAACTGCAAACTTTGTTCCCTATTACATTGTTTGGGTTTTTTTATTACCTTTGTATAAACTTCTGCAACTCTGTGTTCATAAGATAAGTGGCTGCATTATTAATGCTGCAACAGTCACTAATAGATAAGCAGTATTCTCCCCTCCTCCCCCCAGAACAAATATATACTGCATAACCAAAGCTTTATATCATTTAAGGGGCAAGAGGATATGGGTGAGTAAGCATATGGAATACCTCTGCATTTTTGCAGTCTTGGCTGTAGTTCTAAAGATGTTCTTTTGTAGCTGCATTGTAAGAGTCTTATTCAGCAGCACTGCTCCCATTAACTGAAAAAAATCCTTTTGGATACTGGGCATCAGAAAATACATTTGCATCAATTTTTAATTCCTTATGGCGGGTTCTCAAACTTTGTGATACCACGACCCCCCTCTAAGTTGCTTGCGAGCCTCTAGGGAGTTGGGACCCACAGTTTGAGAAACGCAGCCTTATGGAATATAATTGTATGTTTGATGCTTGAAGTAATTGTTTTAAACAGTTATTAAACTGTTAATACCCATTTTAATGTTAGGAGGAAATCATTGGAATCTGTTCTCAATGCATGCCTGCAACTCTCCTTAAGGTTAACTACTCATGTGCTTGGAGAATCCACCCTGAAAGCCTGTTTTTCTAAACATTAGCAACTAAATTTTAACCCACAGGATGTCATCTCTGCTCCACAAAAGTGCTTCTTTTGAAAATGCTCTTTATTTTTACATTTTCTTCACTGACATTTGATTTTCATTGCAAGTTTTGTTTAGCAGGCTATAAAGATAGAGCTAGAAAGGACACTTCAGGCAAAAGGATACTTTACCTAGTTTGTCTACACTGCTGGCTTTTGCCAGTAGAGCTAATGAAGCGCTCATTAGCATTTGTTGCGCTGTCATTAGCATATTCTCAGCTCGAGGCTTTTTGCGCAAGAGGTTTTTGCACAAAAACAAGTAGTGTAGATGGATCTGTTGAGGGTTAGGGTCTCAGGTCATGAATCCAGTGCTCACAGAGGATATATTTAGTAATACCTGAATTTTAGATGTGACATTGACAGGCACTAGTAAGGAGATATTTATTTAAAACAGCTTTTTATTTCAGTGCAGTGACCATATGAGGGAGGCTTTGTCAGAGCCATTATGTACCCAACAGCCATTCTGTAGAATTACTTTTGTGTGTAACATGCCCACTGGGCTGCACAGGTGGAGCAAGCCTATAACAATCACTGCTTTGGAGATGGTTCTGGACCAGACACCCATGGCATGAATGGAGAAAGACAATGTACCTAAACTCCAGTTACTGGTAAAGTCACTTTTCTGCACTACAAACAGCACATGCTATATATTAAATCAGTTATAACAGAAAACTATTTGAAACTACTGGTAAAAAAAGTAGTCAACAGATATGCTTTATCAGGGACTTGGATTTTGAGGGACAGCCAGAGACTTTATTTGATTTTGAGCTTTGCAGGAAACCATATACTTGTGTGTGCAGCCTGCATTATCTTTTCAAGTAGATCCAGTGTCACGGGTTTTGCTGTCCTGCCATGACTTTCCCTGATTCTGCTCATGCTATCTGTAACTGAAGCAAAAGCTACACATGCAGGCTCACCACCTTTCAAGCCAGCAATACATTTCTTAATCCCTTTAGCATTTAATAACATACGGGTTATGAAGCTCAACCCTGATGAGGCACATTGTCCAAGAAACTCCCTGATGGACAACTATGGAATAATCTTCCATATATGTTTTTTTCCTAATCCCAGTTTGTTAGTTGATAGTTTATGCTCTGAAACATGAAGGTTTATCTCTTGCATATATTTTTATTTTTCTCCCTTAAGAACCTCGTGTGCTGCTACTGCAGGAGACTGGCTGCTGTATCCCGCCACTGTGAGGCTATTTTCCTGAAGGAGTAAAGGGACCTGATACATTGCTGTTTAAAGCCTGTTAGGATTCTTCAGAATAAAGCTCAGTAGAAATGTAAGAAATTATTGCTGAATGTTACTGAGGTGTGGAGAGTCACTGGGCCCTGCACCTCCATCTTCGGGCAGATGTGACTCTCAGCCAGCAGGTAGAACACCATGGCTACGTCTACACTGGCCCCTTTTCCGAAAGGGGCATGCTAATTTCACAGGTCGTAATAGGGAAATCTGCGGGGGATTTAAATATTTAAATAAAAATGTCTGCCGCTTTTTTCTGGCTTTTAGAAAAGCCGGAAAAGAGCGTCTACACTGGCCCCGATCCTCCGGAAAAAAGCCCTTTTCCGGAGGATCTCTTATTCCTACTTC